GCAGTGTCACTGGCCCTCATATGTGGGATCCGAACCGGGGCCCTCTGGCATCCCAAGCGAGTTCTTAACCATCGCGCCACTCGGCCGGCCCCGTAAATGAATTTTAAATGGGGTGTTCAGAGAAGCCCCCATTGAGAGGATGACATTTAAGCAAAGATCTCGAGGAGGAAGCTATGTAGGTGTCTGGTGGAAGGGCATTCCAAGCAGAGAGAGCCTGTTCAAAGGCCCTGGGGCACCAGCAGGCCTGGTGTAGTGGAGGATCAAAGAGGAGGCCGTAGTGGATGAGCAGAGTGAATGAGGGGGGGAGACGGAGGAGGAGAGGGCAAGGAGGGGATGGGGTAGGTTGTGCAGGGATGTGTAGGTTGTGGGGAGGACTTGGGCTTTTACCCCGAGGGAGGTGGGAGCCCGGGAGGGTTGTGGGCAGAGGGAGGGGCAGTACCTGATGTGGGTGCTCACAGGCGCCCTCTGGCGGCTGCAGGCGGGACACTGTGGGGGGAGGGGCGGGGACGGGATACAAATCAGTCCCATTAGGGTCTCTGGGAAGGAGAATTGGGTGGCTGGGGACGGGGAACGTGGGGTGGGGCGGCAACTTGACCCCATTTCCTTTTTGGTTACGTTTGACTTTTGAAGCATGGAAATGTATTCCCCGTCGAACAGAAAATAATTTTAAATACGCATCTATCAATTGTGTGGTTGTATGCAGTGCCACATTGGCTGTTGGGAAGGATGGAGGCTGGGGGGAGGTGTCATCTCTTCTGTGTCTCACCAGGCAGTGGGGCAACCAGACTGTACTAGAGGTAGATTTGTGAGACTCAAATGCAGCCCCCCCCATCCCCCACCCCCCGACCAGCTCTACCCAAGCTGAGTGAGCCTCAGCCTTAGCTGCAGCCGTGCATGTACTATGTGACATTGGACAAAGCAGTATCCAATCTGAGCCCAGAGGGTGGGAGACCGTTTGTAAAATATCTATCTCAGAAAGCAGGGACACAGCTATTGACCTCTGAAAACAAATCATCTGTTATTTATTCACATTTCACAGTTTATCTTTAAGGCTGTTTGGCCCGGAGTGGCCAGGGAACTTGCCCAGGAAACACCTAGGCCCACGTGGGCACGTGGTTTGGGCTGGCCTCTGAGCTGGTTGTGGCCACCAGGGGGCGCTGGGGCAACAGGAACTGTGGCTGAGCCCCCAACTCGGCCCCTCCTAGAGTTGCCCTATCCTATGTGGCCTCCCCTGCAGGCTTTTGTCATGAGCTGCCCACCTCCAGGAACACTTCTCACATCCCATAGTTCACTGCTCTAACTAGACTAAAGAACAAAAGGACAGCAACTTGTCTGTTCCCCTTCCCCTGATTCCCCAGCGCTGTTCCCCTCCCCCAGTTCCCCAATAAAATCTTAAATATATATATATAAAATAAAAATTGAGGCAATGAATTAACAGGCTGGTCAGTCTCCATATGGGCTAGAACAGGGGTCAGCAAACTTCTGAGATGGAAGAGCCACCAGGGGTCAGCAAACTGTGGCTCGCGAGCCACATGTGGCTCTTTGGGTACGTATTGGGTTGTCGGAAAAGTCATGAAGTATTTTGTCATGGTTTTTCAAAGGTCAGTTATTTATATAATAGAACAAAGATCAATCAATGATATATTGCCTGTTTGTTCAATAACCTTTTGCCAGCTTTCAGTGAGCTTTATAATTCCTCTTTCATAGAAGGACCTGTCTTTATCTGCAAAAAACTGAACAAGGTGCTGATTTACAGCCTCATATGAATTGAAGGTTATACCACACAAGGAGTTTTGAAGACAGAGAAACAAGTGGAAGTCTGATGGCGCAAGGTCAGGCAAGTATGGTGGGTGTGGCAACACATCCCATCCAAGCTCCAATAGTTTTTGCGGGTGATCAAACTTGTGTGTGGTCTCACGTTGTCGTGATGGAACACAATTCCTTTACAATTAACAAACTCTGGGCGTTTCTGGATGATGGATTCTTTCAAACTGTCCAATTGCCAACACTACACATTCTAATTGATTGTTTCCTTGGTAGGAGCTCAAAAAACACATCTTTAAAATCCCACCACAATGAGAGCATAACCTTCCTCTGATGAATGTCTGCTTTTGATGTCATTTGAGGTGAATCATCACGTTGGGACCAAGACCGTTTGCACACCACATTGTTGTAAACAATCCACTTTTTATCACCAGTTATCAGTCGCTTCAAAAAAAGGATCATTTTCCTCATGTTTAATGAGCATATTGCAGATGTTTATACATGCTGTCAAACGAACCTCTTTGAGTTCATGCGGAACCCAAATATTGAGCTTGCTTACGTATCCCAGCTTCTTCAGGTGGTCATGAACACTTGAATGATGGATGGTCAATGTTTCTGCAATCTCTTGTGTCAAGTAACATGGGTTTGACTCAATCAATGCCTTTATTTTGTCATCATCAACCTCAGTGGGCCTCCCTGACTGAGTAGCGTCGTTGAGATCAAAATCACCAGCACGGAATTTTGTGAACCAGCGTTGGCTCTGACGTTCTTGTAGAGCATTACCACCGTAAACTTTATGCAACTTTTCACAAGCTTGACGCGCGTTCTTCCCTTGATGGAAGTAAAACAGTAAAATATGGCAAAAACGCACAGTTTGGTCTTCCATCTTCAACTTGTTGTAAAATCTCCAAAACTCAACCAAATTGCTCAATTTTTTTTAGAATGAAGCTAGAACTGTCAGCTGTCAAATGACAGCAATAACATAGATGCAAATGACTAGAACTTCCAAAAATGAACTAGTACCATCTGTCGCAAATATGCGTCATGACTTTTCCGACAACCCAATACGTATGGCTCTGAAGTAAAATTGAAAATGAAAATAAAACTATCTTAGTTTCATTTATAAAATTTTTAAAAGATATTATTCACATAATGATGATTATGTAAAAATATATTTATGGCTCTCAAATAATTTTTAACTTGTTGTGAGGGACAGGATTGGCTCTTCCAGAGGTTGGCAAACTTTTGAGATGGAACATACCCAAAGAGCTGCATGTGGCTTGCAAGCCACAGTTTGCCGACCCCTAGAATCCAGTAGAGAGATGCCTGGCTCCTTCTCCTGCCTGAGGGCTACTTGCACGCTGTGTGACCTTGGATAAGTGACTTCACCTCTCTGGGCCTCAATGTTCTCATCTGTAAACTGAGGACAATGATAATCTCCAGCTCCTGGCGCAGTTGGGAGAATGAAATAAGCCTGTCTGCCCTAGTCCCCTAGCTCCCAGCCTCACCCCAGTCTGTCTTCCCCACCTCAGCCACCAGAGGGCACCTGTAAGCACCTGAGTCAGGTTCCATCCCTTCTCTGCCTCCAGCCCTGCAGGGCTCCCACCTCCCTGGGTGGATGGGTGGGGAAGCCCGTCTTCCATGTGGCCCACAAGGCCCTGTACAACCTGCCGTGTCTGCTCCCTGCCCTCATCTCCTCCCTCACTCCCTTCCAGCTGCATGGGAGGAACCTTCTAGTGTTCCTCCAACAGGACAAACATGGTCTTACCCCAGGACCTTTGCACTGGCTGTTTCCTCTGCCCAGATCATCCCCACCCTATCCCACCCAGTGCTTTCCATGACCAGCTCCTTCTCTTCTTCCAGGTCTTGGCTCCAACACCACCTCCTCAGAGAGGCCCTCCCTGGCACCTGGGCCAAAGTTCTCCCTCCTGAGACACTCCCATCAGCTCGCCCTATTTATTCCTTCCAAAGTCTCTTCACTTTCTGAAATTATCTTGCTTCCTCATTTGATGACTCATTCACTACTCCCTCTCTTCACCTCCAAGTGAAGAGAGCAAGGGACAATCACATCCAACCCTATTGCACCCCAGTGCCTGGGAAAATCCTGGCATACTGCAAGGCATTCAATAAATGTTGGTCAGATGAGCAAATGGTCTGTTCACTGCCACTGTCCAGTTATTTGCAGCTGGCTCTTGTCGCCGAAACCCTCTGTGTCCAGGACCCTACCCTGCCCCACCCCATCCCAGAATCTAATCTCAGGCTTCATTTCAGTATGGCTGGAGCCTAATCTCAGGCTTTCCTCCCCAGGTTTCACTTCATCATGGCTGGGAGGCCAAGAGCAGAGCCTTGACAAAATCTGAGTCAGCCACTAAAATAGCAAGTGGTGACAGCCTGGGTGACTCATACCAGGCCTGCCCTTGGGGCAGGAGGCACTGGAGGGAAGGGCATGCAAAGTCCGTGTTCAAATCTGACAGTTGGGTGGAGGGGGCCTTCAGCTCTCTGGCTTGGCCCGCTCAAATTCACCCTTTTTGGGCCGTCATTTTCTCCCTTGGAAGTTTGGCTTCTTCAATTGTAATCTCCCACTTCCAATCCCTGTGACTCTCAGGACCAGAAGTCATCTCTTTGGGCCTCAATTTTCCTCATTTATACAATGGGCCCAATCATAGAAGCTTCTACCTCAGGGCGGGGAGTGGGGGAGGAATTTTTGGAGATTAAAATATGTTTAGATATTCAAAGACTCCAGAATTGATACATAGTGAGTGCTCAACAAACATTAATTCTATTCTCAAAATAAGATGAATCCCCTCCCTGCTGGGCATACTCAGTTAATGAGCCCTTACATTGTCCCTGGTGTTTGAGTTATCCTGTAGGATCTGCTGACGACCTTGAAACACTGGAATCATAAACCTACTGCTCAGATGAGAAAGCAGAGGTTCAGAGAGGTGAAGACACTAGCCCCAAATCTCACGGTGGGATCTGAGCCCAGTCTTGCTGGGGGCATCAAGGGAGACATCGCCCCCCTCCCCTCCGCCCAGTGTCTTTTCTCTCCTCCGGTATTAGATTCACTTTTAGCAAAGCACGTGGCCCATTGGAAGACTGCATATTCCAATTTCCCTTATAGCTACAGAGAAGCCATGTGACTCCATCCTGGCCAATGAATGAGCAAATGTGTGCAATTTCTGGTTCATGCCATTCATGGGGAGAAGAGAGCTTCTCCCTTCCAGTTCCCCTTTTTGGGAATAGTAGCGGTGTTTTTATCTTAACAAATTGCTGAGCAGAGGTCTCCAACAGAACGGCATTAGAGAAGCGTTCAATAAATATTTATTATAATTAAAATACTGTACTAATATCCCCCAGCCGATTCCCCACCACCACCATCCAGTGAGAGAGAGAGAGAGAGAGAGAGAGAGAGAGAGAGAGAGAGTTTGTAAACACTACGTCCAATTCTGGCCTCCCCAAGAGCTGGACAGTCATTGGGGGCCCATTTTGCACGATTTCCTAAGACATGAAGGTGTCCCCAGCAATGCCCTGAAAATAGCAGGTGACCCCATGTTCCACTGCTTCCCTTGGAGATAGGGGGTCTCCAAGGCCCAGCCCAAAGGGAGTCTGAGGTCAAGGTTATCAGGCTGCGTCATTTGGTCATTCTGCTTCCTGTGTCTTGTCCTCAGGCTCCTGGGTCCCTTTCTGGTTCCACATATGGTTGTTGAGCCCCAGCTGCACCATTTGTGCATGGTGGATAATGAGGGGCTGCAGTCCAGGGCTCTGAGGGGTCGCAGTGCTCTGAGGGGTCGTAGGGAAGGCTGGTGGCTGCGGGAAGGCCGGTGGTTGTGGGAAGGCCGGTGGGTGGCTGCCAGCCAGCCATGGAGGTAGGGACGGTGGCTGATGGCCAGGCCAGGTAGAAAAGGGTAGCTGGGTTCCCAGGGGCCCTTGGCCCCCATAAGGCACCTGAGTCCCAAGTGTCGTGTGGCTCCTGAAAGCTGCCTGGAGGTTCTCCATCTGCTCATGCCAGGACAAGTAGCTCTGAAGGTAGGCTGAGTACGCGGCATTCCACGCGGCTGCCTGCTGCCGCTCACCCTCCAGGCGCTGGTGCTGCTCCCGCAGGGCCCGAGTATCCTGATCCTTCTTCCAGTTGGTCTTGCAGGCCCGCAGCTTCTGGGGCTTGAAGGTGTTGGCCACCTTCCTGGCGAAGATTAGGGAGTGCTCGTCCAGCCACACCAGGCTTCTGAGCAGGCTGGACGTGTAGGGGCTAACCTGGGCCTGGGAACTCTCCAGGGGCAGGAAAGGGATCACGCAGTCTTGCCGCCCGGGCTGCGTGAGGCTGTTCATCAGCGACTGGTTCACTTGGTGCAGGCACAGGCGACGGTCAAAGTTGGCAGTGAGCAGCAGGATGGTGAAGGCCGAGTGGTCTATGGCGTCTTGCAGGCAGCACAGCTCACCACGCCCGGGCACCTGGAAATCCTCGCAGAAGGTGGCCCCATTGGGCACACCCAGAGATTCGAGCTTCTCCCGGACACGCAGGGCAATGTGCTCATCCTCCCTGGAGTGCAAGACCACAAAGTTATAGAATTTCTGCTCCGATGACTCTAACTCAGGAGAAGGGGGACATGGGCTCGATGAAGCTGGGTGAGCCAAAGGGGTAGATGGAGAGGGATTGGGAGAGGATGTCTTCGGGGCTGAGGGAGTCGGTGGGCTTGGCTGGGCTGTTGAGGAAGTGGTGTCTTCTATGGGAGGTTGTAGTGGCATCTGGTCCTTGACAGGGCAGGGATTTCTGGAGGGTGAGGGTAGAGATTTGGGGGCTGGTGACACTTCTGTGCATTCCACTGGGTAGTGGGTGCTGATGTCTGGAGCTTCGGAGGAGTCAGGCAGGCCAGCAGGGCTTGCATCTAGGGCCACCTCAGGAAGCCTGGGGCCTGGGCTGTTTGGTGGCACTGGGGTGTCAGCAATCGCCCCCGATGGAGGCCAGCTCATCTCCTCAGGCTCCTGGCAGCCCATGGGGACAGGCTCGGGCACTGGGCTGACCGGAGGCTCATCACACAGCTTGCTGGGCCCATGGGGGCTACGGTGCGAGCTGAGGAGGGCCATGGTGGGCGAATGGCTAATTTCCAAGTTGCTGGCCAGGGAGGCTGGGCTGCCAGTGGATCTCAGGGAGCACCCTCTGCTCCAGCCCAAGGGATTCTCAATGGGCTGAGGAAGACTGCGGGTCCCAGAGGACAGCGGGAGGCAGTCCAGATCAGAGTGGAGGGGCTGGAAGACCCCTGGGTCCCCAACGATGTCCCACCCACACCGGTCCCGGGCCTCCTCTTGGAGCTCCCCAAGCTGGGGGTCCTCCCTCAAGCTAGAAGCCTGGAGGGCTGCCCGGTAAGCCTCGTCCCGCACTGGGGCCGGGCACAGCTTCTCCTCGGCAAGCAGGTGGTACACCCGGGCAATGGCCCAGGACACATCTGGGGTCTCCTCCGGGGCACTGGCACTGCTGTCCATGCCGGCCCACTGGCGGGCCACAAGCCTGGCCACCGCATCCACCTTCAGGGCCTCCAGAGAGATCCTGGCCTCGGTCTCCTGGCCCAGCGTCAGGAGCACCATCGTGTGTAGGAGGTGTGCCCCCCGGCAGCCCGGGTGCAGGGTCTTCAACTTGTGCTTAAGATACAGGAGCTTGTCGTGGCCTGCCGCATGTAGAATGTCAAAGGCGCTGGAGAGAGACGGGCCCGGGCAGGCCATGGGCATCGGTGGGTATAGCCTCCGATGGAGTCGGGAGAAGCACTGGCTGGTGGAGGCATGTTCCACACCACCTGCTCTCCTGCACAGCCGGCGTCCCCTACCCGCTCACTGTACCAGGTCTCATGGGAACTACCAGAGCAGACCTGTGGAAAGCAGGAACAACAGTTAGCACCAGAAACGGGGCAGCCCTGGAAGGCAGCCCAGACACCCCTGCCTGCCTGTCTGCCCTCAAAGGTCACCGTGACCTATCATATCAGGGGGACCTTAGGCAAGATGTGTCACCTCCCCCAACCTTTGTTTCCTCCTCTGCCAGAGGACAGCAGCCAACGCTTGCTTGCCTGGTGTCACCCAGGTGGTAGACATTACTATTTTTCCCATTTGCAGATGAAGAAAGTGAATCAGAAAGGTGAAGTTGGGGCCAGCTGAGTGGCTTAGTTGGTTAAGAGCTCGCGCAAGAGTGTGAGCTCTGAACAACAGGGTCGCTGGTTCGATTCCTGGCCTGAGCTGAGCTGTTGCTGAGCTGCCAACAGGTGGCAGGATGGCTCAGCTAAAAAAAAAAAAAAAGGTGCAGTCACTTTTGCCCAAAGTCACACAGCCAGTGAGTGACAGAGCTGGGATTTGAACCCAAGCAGTTTGGCTCCAGAGACTGTGTGCCTAACCACAAGAGTACACTGCCTATTAGGATCATAATAAGCCCACTTATGAGATTGTTTCAAGGAACTGAGTTGTGTTAGCATATGCAAAGTTCTGAGTCCAATGACTGAAAGTCAGTAAGTGCTCAATACTGACTTCCCTTAAAAGGGAAGTAGTCAGCCTCCTAGATGGCCCCGATGACCCCCATACCCTAGTATTCACGGGCTTGGGTAGTCCTTCCAACATTGTGCCAGAGTTGATCTCAGTGATTGACAGAATATGGCAGAAGTGATGGGGTGTCTCTCGTCACATTAGGTTATAAAACACACTGGCTTTCTTCTTGGTCACTCTCTTTCTCTGTCACGCTGCTGGGGGGACGCCATGCTGTGACCAGCCCTCTGGAGACGCCCACATGGTGAGCAACTGTGGCCTCCCACTACCAGCCACGTGAGGGAGCCAGCTTGGAGTCCCACTGACTCCAGCCCTTGTCGAGTCTTCAGATGAAAAGGCTCCAGCTGGCAGCTTGACTTTGACCTTATGAGAGACTCTGATTCAGAACCCCCCACCTACATGGCCCCAGGCTCCTGACACTCAGAAACTGGTTGCAATCATAAATGTTTGCTGATTTTAAGCCACGAAGTTCTGGCTTCTGATATAAGCTAACTGATATAAGTGGCATTGTTAATAGGGTATGCTAACCATCACCAAGTGCCGGCTCTATGTCTAACAGCGCTGCCAGGCCATTGGAGGCTATTTCCTCTTCACTCCATTTCTCAAAAACTGCCACGCTGATTCCACTTCAGGCTCTCTGCAGGCGCTGTTCCCTCTGCTTAGAGTGCCTTATCCCCAGACCTTTTGCCTGGGTGATCTTACTCCCACCACTCAGCTCTCAGGTACAATGGCATGGCCTCCAGGGAGCCCTCCACGACCACCTCAGCTCCCCATACCAGTCTGTCTCTCCCATACCACCCTATTCCCCCCACAACAGAATTTGCCACTGGGCAAACTTTTCTTGTGTGTTAAACCTTTCACATTTACTATCTGCCTTCTGACCAATGGGCATCAGAGGGTATGGGCTGAGTCTCTCCTGAGTACTGTGGGGGTCATTGAGCCACAGGACAGGTACCTAACAAATACTTGTTGAATGAATGAATGAGGTACTTGTATTCTCCCAATGTTGTGGAGAGAAAACAGGCACAGAGAGAAGGCCTTTCCAAGGGCATATAACAAAGACATTAGGGAGGGTATCCCAAACCCCATAATTTAAGTCACCACATGCTCAAAGCATGTCATATTCAGACTTGGGAAAAACATAGGTCCCTTCTAGGGGGGTGAGGACAAGGTATCTGCCCCTTGGCTCGCCGAGGCATTTTGCCTGCTCCATCCTAGTACCCACCTGTGCTGAGACCTTATAGCCTAGAGCAGTGCTTCTCAACTGGGAGCCACTCTGTCCTCCCAGGGGACACTGGGTAATATCTGGGGACATTTTTGGTTGTCATGACTGCAGGGAACGGTGCCCCTGGCATTGAGTGGGTGGAGGCCAGGGATGCTGCTCCACACACGACAGTGCCCAGCATGGCCCTGCGACAGGGTGATCCGGCCCCAAATGTGCCAGGTGCTGAGGCTGAGGGACCCCGGTCTAGACCAAGAGCTGATTCATTAATCAATCCCCCTTTGCTGATAAATCACAGACCTCATTGTATAAATGATTCAGGATTTTAAAAAGTTTCATTTTGAGCAGATGTCACGTGGCCCACTGGGGCCCCAGGGTTGGTGATTCCAAGACAGCCAGACACAGGGCAGAGAGAGCACTGGGGGGAACTGGTGTTCAGCAGTGCAGGTGTGAGGGGGTGTCACTGAGCAGACAATAGGAGTGGGGATGTGTGGCGTGGTGGGGGAAGGATGTAAGGAGGTCAGTGGCTGTCTGGCTGTTTCAAAAATGGAGGCGGCCTGACATGATGAAATGCTGATCAGGAGAGAGCAGAGACCCAAACAATGGAGCTGACTTCCTAGTGCAGGGGACAATCAACAATAAATGAGTGAAACTCTCAGTATATCAGCTAGTGATAAATGCCACCGAGAAACATAACAGGGAGAAGTAGGGTCATGAACACCCAGAATCGGGACTTTGTAGTTTTAAACACTGTGCATGGTTGCGGAATGCCTCAATGAGAAGAGAGATTGCAACAAGACATAAAAATGGGGAGACAGTGACCCATGGGGTCATCTGAGGGAAGAGAGTTCCAGGAAGAGGGAAGAGCCCGTGCAAAGGTCCTGGGGCAGGACCAGGCCAGACATGTTGGAGGAACAGTGAGAGGCCAGTTTGGCTGGAGCAGAGTGAGCAGGAGGGAAAGAAGGAAGAGAGGAGGGCAGTGAGAGGACTGGGACAGGTAGTGCAGGGTCATGTGGGCCTCGGGAGGACTTGGGTTTTTACCCCAAGTGAGGGGGGCCTCAAAACCAAAATCAGGGGTGGCCAGATGGCTCAGTTGGTTAGAGCATGAGCTCTGAGCAAAAGGGTTGCCAGTTCGATTCTTATAATGGCCAGTGAGCTTCGCCCCCCGCAACTAGATTGAAGACAATGACTTGAGCTGAGCTGCCGGTGGACGGCCGGATGGCTCAGTTGGTTAGAGCATGCGTGCTCTTAACAAGGTTGCCGGTTTGACTCCTGCATGGGATAGTGGGCTGTTCCCCCAGAAGCTAGATTGAAAACGGCGACTGGACTTGGAGCTGAGCTGCGCCCTCCACAACTAACACTGAAGGACAACAACTTGACTTGGAGCTGATGGGTCCTGGGAAAAGCACATTGTTCCCCAATAAAGTTAAAAAATAAAAATAAAAATCACCTTGGACCTGTCTGAATGCAGTGGACTTGACTTGCGGGTGTTGCCGTGAGAGAAAATGGGCTCAGCGGAACTACATTTGCTAAAATTTGAAGACAAGCCAGAAATTCAGATTTTCAGGAAGCTGCTATGTTTTGCCAAGTTGGCAATCAATTCAAATAATTTTAAGAGACCTTGTGAGCTTAAAAAAAAAAAAAAGAAAAAGAAAAAAAAGTGGGCCAGTGTGCCATCCCTGGAGGAAAAACTCTAAACCTATTTGTTACATAATAAATAAATGAAGTGTGTGTGAGGAAAAGGAAAGGATACATACATAGTATTCATTCAAGAAGTAATTTTTCAGCTTCTGTCATATAATATGCACCACTGAACATACCAGGACAGAAAGAAGAAGAAAACAAATAGATTCTTCCCTCTTGGAGCTGACAGTGTAGTGGGTATGACATATATATTATATATAATATACGTAATTCAGAAGAAACAGCATGTGTAAAGGCCCTGAGGCAGGACCATACCTGGTGTGTTGGAGGAACAGAGAGGAGCCCCCCTGTGGCTGGAGCAGAGTGAGTGAGGTGGAGAGAGGGAGGAGGGGAGGGCAGGGAGGTGACTGAGCAGGTCGTGCAGGATTTTGTGGGCTGTAGGGAGGATTTGGGCTTCTACCCAGAGGGAGGTGGGAGCCCTGAGGGCTGTGTGCAGAGGGGTGGGGGGACCTTATTCAGGCTCACAGGCCAGAGAGGCTACTGCAGGGAGGATAGACTATTGAGGGCAAGGACTGCAGCAGGGGTGCTGGGGACCAAGGTGGAGGTGTCTGGTTCAGGCAACGATGGGGGCTGGATCAGGTGGTGATCTTGAAGGACGGAAATGGTTGGATTTGTGGATAATTTGGAGACAAGGGGAGCAGGAGTAGGCAAGGAGGGCACTTGGGCTTTTGGCTTGAATGTTTGAGACTGGGATGATGTGGGAGGAGCTGGTTTGGGGTCAGAAGGGAGTAATCAAGGGTTGTTTTAAGCATGATTCATTTGATCAGTTCTTCCCTGTGCTGCCTTCCATCACCTCCCTGCCCTCACCTCCTCCCATTTCCCCCTCACTCCCTCTGATCCAGCCACACATTCCTTAAACACCACTTTCCTAAACACTCCAGGCTGGATCCTGCCTCAGGGCTTTTGAACCAGCTGTTCCCTCAGCCTAGAATACCCCCAGATATCCAAACAGCTGGCTGCCTCACTCCCTCGCCTCCTTTGGCTCTCAGTTCAAATGTCACTTCCTCATCAAGGTCAGACGTTGGCTACCCTGCTTAACACTGAATTCTATTCCTTCACACTTCCTGCTTTTTTTTATTTTCTCCTTTCAAATTTACACCACCTGACACTATCGATTTTACTTGTTTTCTTGGTTGAATATGCTTTGCTTCCTACTTCAGTAAGCACCACTAACACAGGAATTTTTGTCTGTTGTTCACAGCTGTATCTCTGGTGACTGGCATACATTAGGTACTTAATAAATACTTATTAACTGAATACATCAACAACTGGACAGGACAGCACCTGGCACATAGTAAGTGCTCAGAAAATGTTTTCTGCCTGAACCTTCTCTCCCCAGCAAGACAATAAGGCTAATCTGCTCCCACCAGGACTGACACATAGGAGAGGTGCAATTCACTGCTTTTGGCTAATAAAGAAATGTTACTTGGAAGACTATTCTGCCATTAGAAAAGATGAAATAGTGCCATTTGCAACAACATGGATGGATCTTGAGATTATTATGCTAAGCGAAATAAGTCAGACGGAAAAAGTGGAGAACCATATGACTTCACTGATATGTGGTATATAAAACTGAAAACAACAAAGGAACAAGACAAACAAATGAAGAAAACAAAAACTCATAGACACATACAATAGTTTAGTGGTTACCAGAGGGTAAGGGTGGAGGGGGGTGGTAGATGAGGGTAAAGGGGGTCAAATATATGGTGATGGAAAGAGAACTGACTCCGGGTGGTGAACACACAATGTGCTATATAGATGATGTATTTTAGAATTGTACACCTGAAATCTATGTAACTTTGCTAACAATTGTCACTCCAATACACTTTAATTAAAAAAAAAAAAAAGACAGAAAGAAATGTTATAACAAGACCTGGAAAATAAAACATAGCCAGACTGCCTCTGAAAAATGTATAGGAAACTGAAGGGGCATTTATTCAACAAATGTTTATTGAGCACCTGCTATGTGCAGGCCTCTTCCCACGCCTGGATCCCAGGAATCCTGCCAAGCCAGTGGGGAACCTACGGGATACCTGCCCTCTGCTTTTGGTGCACATAACTGTGACCGTTCACAGTTTTGCTTATTGTTTTGGCTGTGGGCACTACTTGGTCCCTACTGTATGCCCAGCATACTGAACAGTGTCTCCTGGCATACAACAGGTGCCCTATAAACGTTTGTTGAAGAATGAATGAATGCCCCTTAATCAGAGAAATAAACGGAGGCTCAGAAAGTTTTGGAAGCCTGCTCCACCCACCCACAGAAACTCTGGAACCCACCCCCCAGACCTCCAGCCTGCCCCAGGCACACTGTGGTGCCCCCTTCCCTTATCCCTGCCATAGCCACAGGGAGAGGGAAAAAACGGGCAGAGCGGGGAGGGTGTGCCCTGCTGATCGCCTGGGGCCACCTGGGCTCTGAGTGGTGCCAGTGCCAGTACTGGGCAGCTCCTGATACCAATCCCATGCTCCACGGAAAGGGATGGAGGGTAGGGGACTGGCGATTCCCGGAAGGCCCCGATCTCAGCTGATCCAGGGCAGACTGAGGGAAGCGTGTTCCTACCATAAAAGCGGCTCCCAGGGGCCTCTGAGAAAGGTGGGGATTCAGTGCACGGAAGGCGCTGAGGGGAGAGGCAGCGCGGGCAGTGGGGCGGCGCTCCTAGGGCAGAGAAAGCTCCCAGACTTGGGAAGGAATCAAAAACATGTGGGAGAAATGGGGGGAGGTTGGGAAGAAATGGGGGAGGTTGGGGGAGATATGGGGGACTGGAAAGGAGTTCCGGGTGTTGGAGCGGAATTTGGGGTGTAGGAGAGCAATTCGACGTATGGGAGCAATCGGGGGTGGGGTGTTGGGAGGACCTGGGTCACCGTGGAGGGGAGCTGGAGCCCTGAGAGCGGGACCGAAAACGCCGCGCACGGATGCCATAAGCTGTGGCGGCCGAGGCAGCTGGCCTGGAACCCTGGCGAGGAGCCGTGGGCGCCCGGCTACCTGCAGGCGCCCCTCCCCAGCCGGCCCTGGACGCTTCTACACTTACCTGGATTCCGGGGTTGGCCCGCCGAGCCTCTCGCGTCCTCGGGTCGGAGGTTTGTGGCCAGATAGCCTAGCGGCGGTGCCCGCCGAGGACCGAGCGCGGAAGGCGCGCGAGCGGACCCGCCCCCAAGGCCTCCGCCTGCCTCTTCCGCGGCCCGGCGGGGAGGAGAGAAGGGAGATGAGGTCACGCTTTCCCAGCGGGACGGGGAAAGTCCCCGAGGCTTCCCGCAGCGCCACCCTCCTCCGCTCCGCACACCGCCCCAGACAGCAAGTGTAGGCACCTCCCGTGCGCGCTCTGGGGACCACAACAGGGGACAAGAGGGACAAAGCTCTGCCCGGAAGGGGGTGAGGGGAGGGCGGAGTCGGGGGCACAGTCTAGTGAGAAAGGAACCACAATTTAAAATTAGATAATCTCCATTATAATCAGTTCTGTCCAGGAACGAGAACAAGCCTGGGATAATGGGGGAGACACCCGAAATTGGGAGGAAGAGAAATCGTGGCTACCCAAGGGGAATTTGCGGAAACCCATGTGGTTGGAAGAGGGGCAGCAAGATGGCATATCTTGAAGCTGCAAACACGACGTTTTAGAATTCACAGGGGTCCTAACCTTTTGGGGGTCCTGTACCCAGAGTGGACACATCCGTGGGACACAGTACCCAGCGCCCGTCATACTGTCAGGGGCCCACGAAAATGTTTCATATCTTTTAAAATCAGAAAAAAAAAAGGTAGAATTCAGCCTGGATTATGTTTATTTTTATAACAATGAAGTTGTAAATGTAATTTTTATTTATTTTTTAATGGAGGAAGGGGCCTACGAAATTATTAATGCCTTTATCTGGCCTTTTGTCAACCTGGAGAATAGAGGAGCCTTTTATCAAAATACCATTTCTAGATGCATAAAACAAAATACAAGGAGGTAACAAGGACATTATGTTGAAATGCATTTATTAAAATATACATTTTAAACAAATTAGTGATCCATCATTGGATGAATGAATCAACAAAGTATGGTATATTGATTCAATGGACTATGTATTGTTCAGCCTTAAAAAGGAAGGAAAGGGCCAGCTCAGTGGCTCAGTTGGTTAAGAGCTCGCTCAAGAGTTTGAGCTCTGAGCAACAGGGTCCCCGGTTTGATTCACGGCCTGAGCTGAGCTGCTGCTGAGCTGTCAACCGGTGGCAGGATGGCTCAGCTAAAAAAAAAACAAAAAAAGGAAGGAAATCCTGACACATGCTACCCGATATTAATAGATGAGCCTGGAGGACATGATGCTCAGTGAAATAAGCCAGTCACAAAAGGACAAACAAATACTGTGTGATTCCCCTTATATGAGGTCCCCAGAGGAGTCAGACTCATAGAGACAGGAAGTAGATGGTGGTGCCAGGGGCTGGGGGAGGAGAGTGAGTGTTTACTAGGGACAGAGTTTCAGTTTGAGAAGATGAGAAAGTTCTGGAGATGATTGGTGGGGATGGCTGCACAACAATGTGAGTGTACTTAATGCCACTGAATTGTGCATCTAAAAATAGTTGAGATGGTAAGTTTTATGTTAAGTATGTTTTACCACAATTTTAAAAACTAAAAAAAAATACTTGTAAGACAATCATTTAAAAAGTACTTGTGGGGCTGGCTGAGTGGCTCAGTTGGTTAAGAGCTCGCTCAAGAGTTTGAGCTCTGAGCAACAGTGGTTCGAGTCCCGACACGAGCTGAGCAGCCGCTGAGCTGCCAACAGGTGGCAGGATGGCGCAGCTAAAAAAAAAAAAAAGTACTTGTGAAATAGATCTATACCGAACAAAACAAACTACACTTAGTGATGTACCTTTATCACCATACTAAGTAACAAGAGCTAATAACCACAGTGGTTTTGTAGTCGTGATGAGTGTCAGCTGTATTTCGAGCCATCTGCAGCAATGGGATTTGATATGAAAATACCTGTGATTTTCAATTGGGGACAAAGTCACAAGTCCTGCCGTTGCCTTTGTTCATAATTAAGGAAATGATAAATATTGGTTAGAGTCAGTGAAAATAAAGATATGTGTGTTTTCCCATCAGTTAATGAACACCCTGAATTCCATCATCAGGTCCCCCAAGAGGATCATGTATCATAGGCCAAAGTTCACTTAAAGGTTCATGGGGGGGAGAAGCAAATGGAAATTATATGGATGCACCTTGTGGGGCCCTTACTTATTTAGTGCCTGTCTCCAGTGAGGGAAACATTTTATTGAGTTCCTACTGTGTGCCAGGCATATCTAGGCTCTGGGGATACATCAGAAAGGAAGAAACAAGTGATCCCTGCCTTTGGGGCCTCTGGAGCTGGAGGGGAAGAGGGCATTAAACCCATCTTCCCATGCCTCTCTTCCCCCTGTCCCACCATCACCAATTTTTGGTGCCTGTCCTCATGCCAAACACACCTTGGGCGCTCATCTGATCCACGTCTTAACCTTTCCAGGTAGATTTGAATGTATCCATTTTATAGGTGAGAAAACTGAGACTCAGAGGAAGTAACAGGGCTGGAGCACCCTGGCTTCCAGGGGAAACCCTGGGCTGCAGATGGATAAGTCTAACCACCTGCAGACAGGTGTGCTTGTCCACCTCCCTTCTTCAGTGAAAGAAAGACAACGTTCCACTTGAGGTCCTCATTCCTATCCAACTTCTCTCCCTCTTGCTCCAGGGAGGGGGCCCTCCACTTGGGTGTCCATTCCTTCAGTTCTGCACACGTATACATGTATCCAGGAATGTGCTATTTAGCATTCTTCAGTCTGGTTTGGCTTTTTTTTTTTTTTAAGATTTTATTGGGGAATTGGGGGAGGGGAACAGCACTGGAGAATCGGGGAAGGAACAGACAAGTTGCTGTCTTTTTGTTCTTCAGCCTAGTTGTGGAGGACGTTGGTTCACTGGCCTATGTTGGTATTATCATTGCGCTCTTTCTGGCTGAGGCAGATCGGTCGCCGGCCATTGGACAGCCTCTCATGGTGGCTCTTGGCAGCTCACTCTGGCTGCCATCCCTCATGCCGGCTGCCAGCCACTCATGGTAGCTTATGGCAGCCCACTGCAGCTTCACTGCAGCTTACACTGTCACCGGCGACTCATGGCAGCCCAGCTCCAGGTCGAGCTGTTGTTCACCATCTTAGCTGTAGAGGGTGCAGCGTCACTGGCCCTCCTAAGGAATCTGAACTGGGGCCCTGCTGCTCAGAGCTGGCGTCCCAAGCCAACTCTTAACCAATGCCCCACTTAGCTGGCCCTGGTTTGGCTTTTTAATTCACATCCGCCAGAAGTCAGCAAACATTTTTCTGTAAAGGACCAGATAGTAAATACTGTCGTGTTACTGGCTAAACCATCTATGTTACACTACTCCATGCTACCATTGTAGCTTGAAAGCAGTCACAGGTGTTACATCAATAAATGAGGGTGGCTGTGTGTCAATAAAGCTTTATGTACAAAATCAGACAGCAGGCCAGACAGTGGCTGTAGTTCACCGACTCCAGACATAGATAGAATCAATATTTAGCTTTATTCAGTCATCTCTAACATTTTTCTAATTCAATATATGTAGCTCAACCTTTTTCTTTCTAAGTGTGTTATGATCTCAGTAAGCATCGCTGTATCATAATTTATTAAGTCCCCTGTCATTGGACAGGCTGGTTGCTTTCACTATTCCCCAAAAACAGGCATCACTACCTTACAAGGCAGTAGTTAACACAATGCAGGGGGGAAAGTTTGAGTGCTGGGTTGAAATACTTACTTTGACACCTACTAGCTGTGAGGTGGGGCTGAGGGCAAGCCCTGTGAGATGTGCCTCAGTTTTTCTTTGTAACATGGAGATAATAGCACCTGTTGACAGGGTTTCTGTAGGGAAGCTGTCGAGAAGGGGAACTTCTGGGGCTTCTCCAACGTGGAGAAGATACATTCTTGCTCTTACTAAATAATGCCTATTGTTCTCCAAATCAGTTTTCTCTGTGCTCCCACCGGAAGTGAACAACAGGGCTCATTTCCCTACCCACCACCAAATGTTACTTTCACTTTCTTAATTTATGTTTGAAGTATAATTACAGGGCCTAAAGTATATAAATCTTAAATGAACAGCTCAGTGGACTTTTGCATATATACACACACCCTGTAGCCAACAGCCAGATCAACATATAGGTCATTTTCAGCCCCCAGCAGTCCCTGTCGGCCCCTTCTCCATTATTACTCACTAGGCAACTACTATTTATAGTTTCTCTCATCATAGTTTAGTTTCACCTGTCTTGAAACTTCATTGAAATGGAACCAGAGTATGGATTTTTTTTTAAGTTTTTTTTTTAAATTGGGGAATGGGGGATGGGAACAGCGCTGGGGAATTGGGGGAAGGGAAACAGACAAGTTGCTGCCCTTTTGTTCTTCAGTCTAGTTGTGGAGGACGTTGCTTCACTGGCCCAAGTTGACACCATCATTGCGCTCTTCCAGGGCAAGGCAGATCAGTTGCCGGCTTCTGGACGGCCACTCACGCTGGCTGGTGGCTACACATGGTAGCCCATGGCAACCCACTGTAGCAGGGGCTGCAGCCTACACCATCGCAGGCGACTCACGGCAGCCCAGCTCCAGGTTGAGCTGTTGTTCAGCATCTTAGCTGTAGAGGGCAGTGTCACTGGCCCTCATATGTGGGATCCGAACCGGGGCCCTCTGGCGTCCCAAGCCAGCTCTTAACCAACGCGCCACTCGGCCGGCACTGGATTCTTTTGTGTCTGGCTTCTTTCACTCAGTATCATACCCTGTGAGTTTCATCCATGTGGTTATGAATATCGGTAATTTAGCCTTGTTCCTTGCTGTATAATATTCCACAGTGAATCTGCCCCAATTTGCTTATCTGTTCTCTTCTGAATGTACATTTGGCTTGTGTTTCAGTTGAGGGCTGTTAGAAATAAAGCTGCTGTGAACATTTGGAGGCAAGTCTTTGTGTGGACACCCACTCATATTTAGCTTGGGTGTAGTCCCAGGAATGGGGCTGCTAGAACAGAGGGGAGGTGTCCCATGTTGCTGTTTCAGTGAGGCTTTGTAAATCCTTGCCCATCAGACCCAGAGCCCTCAGGAGAAAGTGACATCACCCTGCCCTCACTAATGAGAAAACACAGAAGATCATTTCAGCTTTCGAGCGGGCCTGTGAGGTAAGCCAAAGTCCCCCTCTCACCTCTGTGCCTCAGTTGGGGACAGACATCATGCTGTTCCATCCCATCACTCTAGCATCAAGCATTTGCTTCCCTGTTCTCCAACATTGCCATTGATATCTACTGCTGGAGATGTGCCCACACCCTTAGCCCTAGTATTATATGAGGTCGGACAATTAAGTTCGCGAATTTGTTGTAATGATATTGCTAACCTTTTTTGATATCAGAGGGATTATTCATTATTAATTTGTACCAACTGGACAAACAGTTAACCAAGTTCACTATTTGGAAGTGCTGAAAAGGCTGCATGAAAAAGTTAGACGACCTGAACTTTTCGCCAACAATTCATGGCTCTTGCATCACGACAATGCACCAACTCACATGACATGGTCTGTGAGGGAGTTTTTAGCCAGTAAACAAAGAACTGTGGGCCAGCCGAGTGGCGCGTTTGTTAAGAGCTGGCTTGGGACGCCAGCTCTGAGCAGCAGGGCCCCGGTTTGGATCCCACATAAGGGCCAGTGACACTGCCCTCTACAGCTAAGATGGTGAACAACAGCTCAACCTGGAGCTGGGCTGCCGGTGACGGCGTAGGCTGCAGCCCCTGCTACAGTGCGCTGCCATAAGCTACCGTGTGTGGCTGGCAGCCAGTGTGAGTGGCTGGCAGCCGGTGTGAGTTGCCAAGAGCCGCCATGAGTGGCTGTCCAGAGGCCAGTGACCAATCTGCCTCACCCAGAAAGAGTGCAATGATAATACCAACATGAGCCAGTGAAGCAACTCCTCCACAACTAGACTGAAGAACAAAATGACAGCAACTTGTCTGTTCCCCTCCCCCAATTCCCCAGTGCTGTTCCCCTCCCTCAATTCCCCAATAAAATATTTAAAAAATAAATAAACAAAGAACTGTATTGGAACATTCCCCTACTCAACTGATCTGGCCCCCAATGATTTCTTTCTATACCCAAAGATGGAAATATTGAAAGGAAGACATTTGGATGACATTCAGGACATCAAGGGTAATACGACAGCTCTAATGGCCATTCCAGAAAAAGTTCCAGAATTGCTTTGAAGGGTGGACTAGGTGCTGGCATCGATGCTTAGCTTCCCAAGGGGAGTACTTCGAAGATGACTGTAGTGATATTCAGCAATGAGATATGTAGCACTTTTTCTAGGATGAGTTCACAAACTTAATTGTCAGACCTTGTATGTGTGGCTCAATGTTTATATTGGGTTGTTGGAAAAGTCATGACGCATTTTTGCAATGAAAAACAGAAAAAAATACGTCATGACTTTAATGACAACGTAATAGTTACTGTAGCAAAACACATCACAGCTTTTAAATAGTGGGACAAATATTTAAGTAAGCAGTAAGATGTAACAGGAAGTACAGTATGGTGGTCCCAAGCAGAGGCTGGCAAGCTTTTCCTGTAAAGGATCAGAGTAAGAATTTTAGGCTTTGTGAGTCATGGACTTTGCAAAGGAGACGACCCTCCATCTTCTCACCCCATCCTTTAATATAGAAGGGATTTCCCCTGGGCCACTGACATTATTCTTTTTATTAAGAAAAGTTTGCACTCTCTCATCTGTCAGAACAGAGATGAATGTGAAAGAGCAGAATGGATGCTGCCTGTGATGAATAAATAGCCCTCTAATTACATCATAATTGACTTTATGAAGTAACGTGGGAAAACATGTTTAAAGCCAGTAAATTAGTGTTAACTTGTTATGCGGCAATAGCTAACTAATACATACTGTTTTGCAGAGGGGAGCAATAATGGGCAGAGAGGGGAAGCCAGTCAGCCAAGCTCCTCCAGCAAGTCAGGGTACATGCAGAAAGACAAGAACCCTGACTTGCTTGCCAGACCTTCATAGGCTCCGGACCCAACCCTCCTGAGTCTGAGGCTCAGGTCCAACACTTATTGATCGGGAGACTTTGAGCAAATTATTTTTTTACCTGCCTCAGTTTCCCCATGTGTAAAATGGGGAGATTAATAGCAGCTACCCCAGAGGGTTGAGAAGAGGATGGGGCTAACATCCACCAGGTGCTCAGAACAGCACCTGACTCAGGGCATTTCCTAATACTAGCCTAGCATCACTAGGTACAAAAAGAGATTTGCTTCTTGCCACATTAACAGCCCTGTTTGGGGAACCTCAGTGACTCATTTAAGCAAAAGGCAGGAAAATAAGTGTTTGGGATGAAACCAGCTAACTCAGTGGTTTTCACTCGGAGGTGATTCTGCCCCCAGGGGATACTGGGCAACGGTTGGGGACATCTGTGGTTGTCACCACTAGGGAAGGGTTCTCCTGGCATTGAGTGAATGGGGGCCAGAGATGCTCAGCACCCCACAGTAACCAGGACGGCCCCTTACAAAGTGACCAAGCCCCAAATGTCCACTGTGCCAAGGGAGACAGACCCTGACATAACCTAAGTACCAGGCTTTTTGAATGTACAATCCCATGCAATCTTTGCACTACAAGTATGCTGAAGTCGGATCTCAGATGACAACACTGAGGGGTAGAGGCAAAGGCCCAGGGTCCCACACCAGAGAGCTGGCCAGTAGACCTACGTCCCATCACTGAGCTAGAGTCCAGTGTCGCCCAGCCAGCGCCGAGGACACAGGATACGCGGCCATCGGGAACGTGCAATAAATGGAACAGACACAGATTTGTGGCGTTGCTGATGTGGCTGAATCGGAGCCCCCTTCCCCTGCTGTGTGCTTCCGTTTCTTCATCTGTAAAGTGGGGATGCCTAACCTGCAAAGCTGAGGTACTTAAAAGGGATTGTGTGTAAAGTGAGTGGAACAGCCCTGGACCAGAGTGGGCAGTGAGAGGACTGAGCATCAGTGTGGTAAGTAAAGGTCAGCACAGCAGTGGGAACATGGCCAGTGGCAGTGGACAGAAATCCAGGAAATCTTGAGCTGAGTTCTGTTCGGGGGCCACTTGAACTGCTTGCCCCCAGTGTGAGTCCCCTGCAGCTGCTGTAACCAATGACAGACAGAGGCTGAAAAAAACACAAATGCATTATCTCCCAGTTCCAGACGTCAGACGTCTGAAGTCTTATGGGGTGAAAATCAAGGTGTCAGCAGGGCTGGTTCCTTCTGGAAACTTCAGGGGAGAATCTGTTTCTGGCCTTTTCCAGCTTCTAAAGTCATCTGCATCCTTGGCTCGTGGCCTCTTCCTCCATGTTCAAGGTGAACAGCAGAGCATCGTCCCATCTCCAATTCTGTCCTCACATCTCCATCTCTGACCCTCCAGCCCCACTTGTGATGATGTTTAGGGCCCACCTGGGCAATCCAGGGTCATGTCCCATCTCCAGATCCTGAATTGAACCCTATCTGCAAGGTCCCCTTTGCCACGCAAGGGCCTGGGGATTTGGATGTGGACATTTTTGGGGGTCATCGTGCTACTCTGTTCCCCCACATACCTAGGAAGTTCCAACACAGGAAAAACGTTTCTTGCTTTGCCCACATACCAATGACATGACACAGGGGGCAGGACTCCGGCACGCCAGGGCGGCAATGGAAGGCCCACATGCCCTGCTCTTCCCCACGGTGTCCAGGACCAAATTCGAGGACTCGAAGCTAAGCAAGTGTGGCCAGATCTTCGCTGACAACCAACACAGGCCTCATCCGAGGCACTGGGTGCCAAACTTCAAGTTCAGGAGCAGGTCCAGCCCTGTCTCATTCACACCCTTGTGAGCAAAGCAAGGATGGGGCTGAAACGGCCACACAGAGACCCCGCAGTTGCTCAGCTGCTGGGAACACACACATGTACATGGCCTGTACGTAGCTGCAGGTAAACTTTATTAAGGCAACACTGAAGCTCTAGGCACCTATGGCTGGACAGGCAGACCTCTACCTCCTTCTGCTCTAGAATGCGTCTTGGTAGCTCCACCTCTACCCCATCCCAGGAGGCCCACTTCACAGACCAGAAGTCCAAGTCCGTTAAAGACTGATGATATCCGGGGCCCTTAATGTAGAAAAGGAAGTAGGATAGAAGAACTATATCCCTGACTTTTAAGAAAGAAAAATAAATGTGGTTTTTTTTTAACTTTCTAGGAAAACAAAGTTTGGAAACTTCTAGAGATATTTTTTCCAGAAACCTTGCACTAATTACTGATCAGGTGAGGCTCAGACATGCTTCCTCCAGGCTCAGATAGCGGGAGGGACTGGTCTGTTTGGAGGACCCGTTTCCCAAGGTGGCAGCTGAGATGGACTGGGGGGGGGGCAAGGGGTCCAGTGCTGTTGCCAGCCCCTTGGGGAGGGATGAAGCCCCTGAGCCCCCTTCCTGTCTAACCTACTTCTTCTCCTCTGGGGCTTTCTCGGCAACTCCAGGAGCAAAGGGTCCCACCAGCCATGTGACGGGCGTGTTCTGGGCCACATACTCGACCATGTGGTCCAAGGACTCCCTGGCCTTAGTGAGCCGCTCGCGGCTTTGCGTCAGGACGCTGCTGGACAGGTCCTGGAAGGAGTGGATGCTGGAAAAGGTGGCTTGGAGGTCCTCCACCTGGTGGCGAGCCTGCTGCACCTGGTCCTTCACGTGGCTGGGCAGCCCCTGGATGCTGGACCCCAGCGAGGCGCAGGTGGTCTGCAGCTGCTGAGCAATGTCACGGAACATGGTGAGCGCCTGGGACTCGACCTGCTGAGAAGACAGAGTGGGGAGGGGGCCATGAAGACCACTGCTTTGGGGAAAGCCAGAGCCAAAGCCTAGAAAAAGAAAACGAGGGTTCTACTGCCGACCTTCAGAAAACCCTTCCATAGGAGGTGCCGCCTAGCATGAAGTTCGGAATACTGACTCTTTGAGCTCTGAACCATGAGGTAGACCAGTCAAACTGAAAAACAGGCACAGACATTTCTCCAAAGAAGATATGCAGATGGCCAATAAGCAGGTGAAAAGATGTCGTTGGCAAGGAAGGGGAGCAACAGGAGCCCTCAAAGTGGCTGCTGGTGCAGTCGCCGTGGAAAACAGACTGGTGGGTCCTCAAAATGTTAAAACATAGACTTACCATGTGACCCAGCAATTCCCCTTCCTAAATATCCACCCAAAAGAAATAAAAATATACATCCACACAAGAACCTGTACACAAATGTTCATAGGGGACATTATTCACAACAGCCATGAGACGAAACAACCCAAGTGTCCATCAACAAACGAATGGATCAATACAACGTGGTCCATCCACACATAGGAATATTACTCAGCCATGAAAAGAGGGAGGCGCTGACACTCACTACATTATGGATGGACCTTGAACACACAGTGCTCATGAGAGAAGCTAAATACACAAGGCCACACAGTGTGTGATTCCACTTATGTGAAATGTCCAGAACACGTAAATCCACAGAGACAGGAAATAGATTAGTGGTTGCCAGGGTTTGGGGGAAGGGGATGGGGAGTGACTGCTGATGGGGACTAGGCTTCCTTTGGGGGTGATTAAAATGTTCTACATGAATTGTGGTGAGAGTCACACAACCGTGTGAATATAGATGGTCTCCAACATTTTTATATTTCAAAATTGTTTTTTGAAAAGTTAAAAAAAAGAAAAGAGATCTGGAAGAACTTTTCAGGCAGAAGTTATAAGCGGTGGGGGAGACCGCCGTTTAGATCAGGTCCTTGAAAATTCCCAGACTGGGGAGACCAGAGCAGGCAGGAGGCAGGACTGCCCTGAGCGCCGTCAGCTGAGGGCTCTGGACTTGAACATGGCAGGGAGGTGCCCACGAGAGTCAACATCTGTATATTCTGGCTGCTGCGTTCAGCAGCTGGGGGAAGGGAATCGGGTTTAGGCGGTTTGTGTCTGAATGCTGAGCAGTTGTGCATTTATAGAGACATTCATATCTTTATAAATATCATTTTTGTAACACTTGCTGTGTGCTTTACATATCAACTCATTTAATCTTTTATATATATATATATATATATATACACACACACCTCATATATCAGAAAATTCACCCTTTTAACTGTATAACTCTGTGGTTTTTAGTATATTCAGGAAGTTGTACAACCACCACCTCTAATTCCAGAACATTCCATCACCCCCAAAAGGAACTCCCTCCCCCATCCCCTCCTCCCCTAGCCCCTGGCATCCATGAATTCACTTTCTGTCTCTGTGGATGTGTGTGCCTGTTCTGGACATTTCATATAAATGGAATCACACACTGTGTGGCTTTTTTTGCCTGGCTTCTTTGACTGAGCATAATGTCCTCAAGCTTCATTCATGTCATAGCATGTCAGTGCCTCATCCCTTTTTATGGCTGAGTAATATTCCATTTTATGGACGGACCACATTTTGTTCATCCATTCATCCATCAGTGGACTTCTGGGCTGTTCACACTTTTTGGCCATTGTGAATAATGCCACTGTGAACATTCATGGACAAGTTTAGCTCATTTCATCTTAAAAACCCTGCAGAAGCTCCTCCATTCCATTTACGGATGGGGAACCAAGGCCCAGAGAGGTTAAGCTGAGAAGCTCTATTGTTAGCACAGACATAAGATGGGGGTGGGGGGGTGGGGGAGGTATCATTCAGAATGAGGCATGAGAATTGTTGTCAGGTGTTGATTCCGTGAAAGCTGAGTAGAGTGACAGCACAGGTGGCAAATGTCAGAGGGGGGAACAATGGGCCAATGTTTGGGATAGACTAGAGAGACCGGAGAAAGCCAAAAGTAGTTACAAGGGGACAGGTAGGTGAATATGAAGGATTCAACGGGACAGTGGGGTGGGGAAGAACATATTTCAAGAGTTTCAAAACCGAAGGTAATTCGAGCCATAGCTTACAAATTGTCCCAGTTTCAGAAGCAACACCCACACCCAAGAGCAGAAAACTGGGCATGAGGTGTACACTGGAGGCGGTGTTGGCGAGTCCTGTAGGCAGTTAATGGGAGGTGGGGCTGTGGGAAGCATTCCAGGCAGGTCGGTCCATCCAGCAGAGGTGTGAAGAGAGAAGTCAGGGCCCCAAGCACCCCATGCCCATCCCCCCAATGGGTACCTCTGGCTTTGCTGGGTTCCCCTCGGTGCTCTGGAGCTGCTTCTGGTTCCAGTTGAGCCACATTTGATGCAGCTTCTCCTGACCCTCTAGCAGCTTCTGATCGACTCCCTGCTTGACGGTTTCCATCTGCAGCAGGAGAGGGTGGTGAGATAGAAAGGCTGCTTCTGGGCATCCCCAAGCATCCCAGAGAGAGGGGTTCCAGAGGGAGCCTGGGGAGTCCTCTTTAGTCTAAGATAGAGTGGTGAGGGAACAGGAGGGAGGGATGCTGTTTTCACACAAATTTTCTGTAGGACCTCCCATTTCATATTTCTCCCCCTCCCCTTACAACTGGGCCTGGCCACATGTCTGGCTGTGGCCAACAGAACATGAGCAAACAGAAGTAGAAACTGAAAAAGTGCTTGCGAGGGAATGATACTCAGCCTTAAAAAGTAAGGACACTCTGACACCTGCTACAACATGGCTGGACCTGGAGGATACTACGCTCCCTGACATAAGCCAGACACAAAAGGACAAACACTATATGATTCCACTCACAGGAGGTCCTCAGGAGTCAAATCCAGAGACAGGAAGTAGATGGTGGTGCCAGGGGCTGGGGGAGGGGAGCTCCGGGAGGGTTTAATGGGGAGAATTCCAGTTTGGGTAGATGAGAAAGTTCTGGAGATGATGGTGGGGACAGTTGCACAACAATGTGAGTGCATTTAATGCCACTGAGCTGTACCTACAAATGGTTATGATGGTAAATTTTGTTATGTGTGGCTTACTACAATTAATTTTTTTTTAAAGAGAGGAGATATATTTAGCAGAGAAAGTTCAGTAAAGAGGAAATAATAGGAATTTAGCTCTATAGAGAACAGAAAAAAAAACCGGTGGGGGGAGGTGGATTTGACTGTAAGAGGCAGGGGGGACATTTGGGTGATGGAAATAGTCCAAATCTTGGAATTTTGGTGGTAGTGATATGTTCCACTTATATTTACAAAACTCCTCAAATGGTACACTTAAAAAAGGGTGATTTTTACTGTAAATTATACCTCGATGAAACTGACTTTGAACAACAACAAAAAAAGTGCTCACATGCTCTCACTGCAACTGGTTCCCTCAGACCACTTCCAGGGGAAGAGCCTGAGCTAGCTTGCTGGAGGGGAAGCCCACAACGAAAAGCCCTGCCTCCAGCCAAACTGTCATGAGCTGAATCGTCCCTGCCCCCCAAATTCATGTTGAATTCGTGTTGAAGCCTAACCTCCAGGACCTCAGAATGTAACTATATTTGGGGATCGGGTTGTTGAAGAGGTAATCAAGATAAAATGAGGTCATGAGAGTGGGACACAATCCAATATGACTGGTGTCCTTATAGGAAGAGGCGGTTAGGACACAGAATGCACAGAGGGAAGCCCACATGAGGACACAGGGAGAAGACGGCCATGTACACACCAAGGAGGAGAAAGGTTTCAGGAGAAGCCAGCCCTGCCCACACCTTGATCTTGGACTTCCAGCCTCCAGAACTGTGGGACAATAAATGTCTGTTGTTTAAACCCCCTAACTATGGGGTTCTGCTATGGTGGCCCCTGCAAACTCATCCAGGACCACAGCCCCATGAGTCAGCCCAGGCAGACATGCAGAATGGTGAGCAACAAGCCACTGGGTTTGAGGAGGGTTCATGAGTGAAAGCTGCTGTGCAGTGCCTGCAAGCCACTGGGGGGGGCCTCACCAGGCTGAGTGCCTGTGCCAGCTGCATTAGGGCCTCCTGGGCCTTCTGCCTGGTGTGCTGCAGCTTGCCCAGAGAGTGTTCGTAGGCCCGCTGGCGCAGTCGATCTGACAGGGAGCCCAGACGCACAAAGTAGCTCTGCTCCTGCCGCTGCTGCTGCACAGAGGCTATGTCAAAGCCCTCCAGGGATGTGGCGAGGTGGGCTGCAGGGGGGAGGCGAGAGAAGCATTGTGAAGGCCCAGACACAGGTGGGCACGCAGCTCAGGTGTATCCCCCCCCCACCCCCCACCCCACACACACAGCGTGTGGCCCCTGGCATGCATGGACTGCCCAAATTTATGCAGGTCTGATGCTTGCAAGCCAATCTCTGGAAGTGAAGGATTTCCCTGCCTTGGCTGTCCCCATCTGGGTACGATGGGGACCAAGCCTCTTAGGACTAAGAGGCCTCAGACTAGCATGAGGGTCTGCCCCACGGGCCACACCCAGTCTGCCTCCAGTTTTGTATGACCTGTGAATACAACCAAGCACATTCATTACACATTGGCTTAGGCTGCTTCCAAACTACAACAGTGGAGCATGTGGCCTCTTGGTTCTGGAGACTAAAATACTTATTATCTAGTTCTTTACAGAAAAAAGTCAGCTGATCCTGTATTAGCACCTGGCGCATATTAATAGTGGCCAATTTCCCCACAACATTCTAGGAGCTTCATGGGCATTTTTGTTAAGTCTTAATAACTCTATGAGAGAGGCCCTGTTCTGGGGGAACTGGGGCTCAGAGAGGTTAACTTGCCCAAGGTTACACAGCTCGGAAGTAGCAAGTCAGGATTTGAAGGCAGGCTGTCTGACCCCATCTTCTTAACCATGACACCACACAAGAACAGTCTTAATAGTAGTTAAGTCAGTACTTTTTAGTCCAGAAAGTACTCATGAAGTTATAAGACAACAGGATGGAAAACTGCCTATCCTGATAATTTTGTCCTGCTCCTTTTAAACTTTAACATAGTAGTTATAAGTTTGAGCTTTGTAAGTAACCTGATCTCAGTTCGAATCCAGACTTAACTAACTCACTGGCTTTATTTTTATTTTTTAAAAGATTTGATTGGGGAATCGGGGAAGGGGAACAGACAAGTTGCTGTCCTTTTGTTCTTCAGTCTAGTTGTGGAGGATGTCGCTTCACTGGCCCAAGTTGGTATTATCATTGTGCTCTTCCTGGGTGAGGCAGTTGCTCACTGGCCATTGGACAGCCACTAACGGCCGCTCACAGCAGCACACGAAAGCTCACTCCAGCTTCCGGCTCAGCCCCGCTGCAGCCTACGCTGTTGCTGGCGGCTCACAGCAGCCCAGCTCCAGGTCGAGCTGTTGTTCACCATCTTAGCTGTAGAGGGCGCAGCATCACTGGCCCTCACGTTGGATCAGAAACAGGCCCTACTGCTCAGAGCTGGCGTCTCAAGCCAACGTTTTACCAACGCACCACTCGGCCGGCCCCTAACACACTGGCTTTATGATGCTCCATGATGGCAGGGGGTGGGCCAAATGCCACCTACCTTTACAAATAAAGTTTCATTGGCACAGTCACACCCATTCATTTACCTCTTGTCAATGCTTTTGCTCTATGATGGCAGAGTTGAGTAGTTGCACAGAGACTGTATGGCCCGAAAAGCCAAAAATATTTACTACCTGTGTCATTAAGAAAATGTTTGCCACCCCATGATCTATGCGGAAGTGATTTTGCCAGTAAGCCTGTTTCCCCTTCTGTATGACCACCCAAGTCAGAGCCGCCTGAAGTATAAAATTTGGACTACCTTATACTCAAAAAGGCATACAAATGAATGTTCAGCTATTTTTATTATTTATTTATAGCAGATGATATGGTTTTTCATTTATAGTAAGTAATAATGTTTCCTTTCTAAGAGAATCTGGAAAAGTTGACTTAATGATCGACTTTACATAAACAGTAGAGGGAATATAAACGTATGACCAAGATAACGTGAGAGACATGCTGTAGTCAGACAGGAATGGCAGCACTGTTCTAATGATTAAGTGGAATCTGCATTTTAGCCACATATTTGTGCTCTCCTCTGGGTTAGGCACTGTTCCAGAAATGAAAGACAGTGGAAAATAAAGTAATACAATCCTACATGCAACTATTGATCTATTGCATGATCAAGGTAAGCCTCCAGTCAGAGGAATTCAGTTATTCCTATAAATGTTAGAAATTCTGGAAGAACATACTCTGAATCCAAGAACTGGAAAACTTTTCTATGTGGGGCCAGATAGTCAATATTTTCGGCTTTGCAGCCTATACGATGCCTCAGTTGCTCAACTCTACCACTGCCATGCAGTCAAAGACAAAATGTAAATGAATGGGCGTGGCTGTGTGCCAATAAAACTTTAATTACAAAAGCAGGTGGTGGGCCACATGTGGCTTTAGAGTTGGCTGGGAAAAAGACATCATGCAAGGATCATTTTATGCTGACATTTAATAAGCTGAACAAAAAACAAAGACATAGGACACTTCGAGGCAGCAAAATAAAAGCCTGCATTTTAAGAAAAACAGTTCCTCCCAATTCTCCCACCAAAGGCGGCTTTGCAAAGGGGAACCTAAAACTAGCAACACTTTGAACCCATCCCACTGGTGCCCAGAACTTCCCCATGGCTCTCTGGGAACCCCAGAACTCTGCCCTTAGAAGTCAAAACAGCTTTATAATTTAGGCCAAGGATATCTGGCAGCGTCTTGGCATGTCTGAGCAAGCTGGCAGGGCCCTGTGCAAGGGGCAGGTGCTCTAGGCAAAGGAAAGAACTGCAGAGAGGGAGGAGAAGGGCTGCTCTCCTAGCCCAGGACCCCGAGGAGCACACCTAGTTCTAACACAGCACTGCAACAGCTCATCATATTTTCACCTACAGACCACCCAGTACCTTAAGCACCAGTGTGCTTAGTGACTTCATCCTCAGAAGACAGACACAGAAAATCTAAGCTGCTCAGAAGGATCTGTTCTCCCAGGCTGTGGCTCCCAGGCCTGGCTCAAGGCCTTCCTCCGTGCTGCTGTTGCCTTCAGGGGCTGAGACTCGCAGCTGAGTCTTACTCGGGCTGAGCACCTACTGTGGGCACTGAACTTGGGGTCTGGCAGGGAAGATATCAGCTAGGTCCTGTTCTTCAAGAAGTTCAGAGCTGGGTTTTGGAAACTCAAAGGACAAGTGACATATTACACTCAAGCCACGTGCTGCAGAGCTGAAGATTGTCAGGCTTCTCCAGAAAGCAAGGAACCTCCCCTTCTGCTGAGGATTCTTAGGGAGAATCATGGGGACTCAGAGCCAACTTCAAGGGGAGCTCCAAGTAGTTGAAAATAATGGGACAAATGAAGTGTCAAAATAAACGTATCAAATTGGAGTATGTCATGTCAATCCATGCATGCAAACCTATAAGGTAAAAACTTACAACTGGGGCCGGCTGAGTGGCGCGATGGTTAAGAACTGGCTTGGGATGCCAGAGGGCCCCGGTTCGGATCGCACATATGAGGGCCAGTGACACTGCCCTCCACAGCTAAGATGCTGAACAACAGCTCAACCTGGAGCTGGGCTGCCATCAGTCACCAGCGACGGCATAGGCTGCAGCCCCTGTGGCAGTGGGTTGCCATGGGTTACTGTATGTAGCCAGCAGCCAGCGTGAGCAGCCAGCAGCCGCAGTGAGCGGCTGTCCAGAAGCCGGCGACGGAT